CAAGAGTATTTTTATTATATTTGTTCAAAAAATTCGTTATATCAAGAGTTCGCTATAACAAGAGTTGACTGTATAATTTTCTAGTGATTAATGTCGTCTTTTTAATCATCATCATCTATATTTTCTTTTATATAATAATAGTAAATAATATATTATCTTTTTTATTAAAAGTTACACTTATTTATTACTAATTTAGTAATTATTAAAACTAGAAAATGCTTTTATAAACTTTTATCCATTTGAAAAATAATTTTAAAAGAAAATGTTACTTAAAAGTTACTTTTTATATTTTTTTATTAGATTTTAATTCTAAAGATATTAAAAACAATTTTAAAATTTATTTATATTTAAAAATTATATTAACATTTTTTTATTTTATTTTTAGAAATATGGTTCACAAAAATTTCAAGACTCATCATGCTAATATTACAAGCAAAATAAAATGTCAATAGTCTGCATAGGAAAAATTACTATCATAAAAAAAGTTATAGCAAACGTTCAACTGCAGAGAAGTTTAATATTTAGTCTAAATAACTTTAAGAATAGTTAAAAAATAAAGAACAACTGTTAAAAGTAACTTCTTATATTTAAAAATTTAATACAGATGCCTATCTAAAATATTCATTATTTGAAAATAAACTTTTTAAATAGTTTAAAGAATTTTAAAGTTGATTAAAAGTTATTTCTTATTATATAATTTAAATAAAAGTACGTCTCTTTACTAAAAATACAATATTTCAGTTAGAATATCCTGATATAAAAGATGCAAATTTTTATAAAAATGGATTAATAGTTTTATGAACTATTATAATTTGATTAATAAAAATAAACAATTATTTAACGGTTTTCAGAAAATTATATTGAATAATAAAGTGAATTTTTATCTTATATTTTATTTTGTTAAAAAGAACATGATAATCCATTATCTTTAATTGAAAATATGGATGAAATACTAATATTTTTTAATTATTAAATAATACAACAGTTAAATAATGCAGTACTAAAACTGTTTAAATTTTATTAACTGGATATAAATATTCAAATTTTATCATTATTTTAAGTTGTATAGCTGATAAAATAAAATTACTACCTATAATTATTTTTAAACTTATAAATGTTCCTTAAGAAGAGTTTCCTGATGAAGTAATTATTCATGTTAATTTTTAAAATTGGATAAATAAAAATAAATATCTTAGTAGATGAAAAATGTTTGAACACAACATATAAGATGAGGAAATAATCCAAAATCTCTTTTAATATTAGATTCTTTATTGCATATAGAACTAATATTATAAAATGTTAATTTAATAAAAAAATACTGATTTAGTTATTATTCTGAATAGGTTAACTTCTTGTTTACAGCCACTTGATATATTATTAAATAAATTCTTTAAAGCTAAGGTATTTTATTTTATTTTTATTTTTTTATTATTTAAATAAATTAATATTAATTTTTTTTAATAAATAGATATGGCAATATTATATAATTGAATAGATGAAGCTATTAAAAAATATATATCACTGGAAAATTTAAAAGACCATCTTATTCACTTGTTACTAATTAGGTAAAAGAAAGTTAAAATGCTATTGATTCTAATATAATCAATCATTTATTTAAATATTGTAGTATTTCCATAACAATTGATAAAACAGAAGATGGTTTGATTTTTGATTTTAATAAGTAGAAGATATAATTAATCAAGGAAGAGAATTGAAGAAGAAAAACAGGATATTAATGAAAATAAATCAGATGATGATAATAGAAATGAATTGGAAAATGATGATAGTAAAAATGAAAATGATTATTATGAAAGTAATGAAAATTGTAATATAATTCAAAATTGGAATATTTAGTGAAATTATTAATTTCATAGCATTTATTCAATAATAAATAAAATTTTTTCATTTCGGTATAAAATACCCGGGTCTTTTAAAGTGGGGTATTCAAAAAAGGGGTATAAATTTCTTATAGAGTAATAATATATATTTATAAAAATTTTAGCATATATTATTATACAGAATCTGAATTAATTAATTTTTATATGCATATTACATAAAACATTACTTCTAATAAAAGTTACTCAATATTGATTAAATTTCAATAGATATATTCATTTTAATATGTGATAAAAATAAGTGATTGACAAATGATCTCCTGTCCGCTAGATATTTAATTGTTAGGAGTTAACATTAATGCTGGTAAGTTAGGAAGATCAAAGATAAAATTGATCCTAAAGGAAAGAAAAGATCGTTCAATCACCCTAAGATAAAAATAGTAAGAAACATTCTTTTTTATTCTCGATCTAACTAGATAATATAATGCATATAGAAGAGGAAAGCTTTTCTCTATTGTAAAATTATTTAATTGATCCAAAATTGTTACACACGGACCCAATTACCAAATATTTGGTTCCAGTATTTGGTAATTATAGGATTTTCCATTATTATTATTTCGACAATCTTGCATATTTGTTCATCTAGTAGTAAATTTAGATCCTTATAAACACGATTTTTACATTTATATACGTTGGTTTATATAAACAGGTAATTAATAAATCTGATAAAGTTCATCGTTTTTTTTACGTTTTAACAAAAAGAATTTTTATTTTAGACTCAATGGCGAGTAATATGCGTGGTTTGACCGTGTTTATCGCGGATATAAGAAACTGTAACGATTATTTTCATTTTTAGCTTTTTTATATAAGAATATATACATATTGACTTACTATTTTGATAAAAAACATAGGCAGAGTAAGAGAGTTGGAGGAAAAACGAATTAATAAAGAAATGGCAAATATTCGAGCGAAATTTAAAGGTTTATTGTCAATTTGATATTTTAATTATTTCATTTAATCATTCACTTCATTTAATTTTAATTCCACATTGCAGACGGGAATCTTAATGGTTATCAAAAGAAAAAATACGTATGCAAGCTTTTGTATATGTATATCCTTGGTTGGGATATTGATTTTGGTCATATGGAAGCTGTAAATCTTATTTCAAGCAATAAATATAGTGAGAAACAAATCGTTAGTATTATTGATTTCTAAATGAATCTTAATATTGTTATGCAATCTTATCTAAATTGATTCTTTTCATAGGGATATCTTGGTGTAACCCTTTTAATGCATGAAAATAGTGATTTGACACGTCTAGTTATCAATTCAATAAAAAAAGATCTCGAGGAACTTAACGAAATATATAATTGTCTAGCCTTGCACGCTATTGCTAATATTGGTGGTAGAGAAATGGCTGAATCACTTTCATTTGATGTGCATAGACTTTTAATATCACCGTAAATATTTTTCTTAATATAATTAATTCCCTTTCGAAATTCGCTTTATCTTAGATCATGCAAATTTATATACCTTTTCTATTTTAATTCAAAGATTTATTCACCTA